TCGCTGTCATATAGCTGGAATATTGCTGTGTGCTGCGTTTAACAACAACCAAACAGACAAAAAACAACTTAATATATTCTTGGTCATACTTGCAACTTTGCCGTTTCCGTTGTTTTCTCATACTCTGAAACTTTGGGTCGTACTGAACTGAACGCGTTTTTGCCAAAGTTGCCGAAAGTTGTTTAAACGACGTTAAACATGTGGCACGTGCACTGGTGCACACGTAAATCAATGGAATAACTTTAGCGTAAGCATATTCTTTTCATGTAGACTGACTGAAAAATCTAGAAGCATGTCACTTTATCCTCACTTAAATATATATCATCAATTATATTTACAACGACGTTTCAGAACAAGGAGGGGAAGGTCCATACAAAATTCATTCTCCCAACATCATTCGAAGGACAGAGCGGCGAGTATGTTTGAGCAATACATGTTGGACAATGTTTACCTCATGTTTACCATACATGACTCATTCTTGACTCACGGTGGTGAGCTCGATAGTTTACGTAGACTTGGGACATACAGATTAGAAAATATCAAATTAACTTGGATCCCTATGTCAGCCCTCAACTCAGAAAATATCATGTTCATTTTACTAAACTACGTCAAAGTGACCACAAACTAAATTAGGAAGACGCTGCAGACCTCCAGGGGCTTAAATTAACGCCTTTGTTCAACTTTTGGAAAATCTTCATTCCTTGACCCATGGGGCTTTTGTTACAAAATGTGGTGACAACAGGCACAGTTACGCACATGTATCTATCTTCAGAGGTTCAGGACAGTTTGTCAATTTGTCAAAAATGAAAGCAAATGCCACCTGAAACTTGACCCGTGAAGATCCGGGGTAGAATAGGTCTTCAGCAACCCATGCTTGCCGTAAAAGGCGACTATGCTTGTCATAAAAGGGGACTAACGGGATCGGGTGGTCAGGCTCGCTGACTTGGTTGATGCGAGTCATCGATCCCAATTGCGTGGATCGATGCTCATGATGTCAATCACTGGATTGTCTGGTCCAGACTCGATTATTTACAGACCGCCGCCATAAAGCTGGAATATTGCTGAGTGCGGCGTTAAACAATAAACTAACCAACCAACCATCTACAAGAGTGTAAGTGGTATTGTAACCCTTTCCTACAAATAAATTGAATACAGTTTGATCTATCCCCTTTTAGTTCGTTGTTATTCATCCATAAACTGCCGGAAAGATCCTACTGAATAGTGTTTTGACAAAAGATGAGTGGTGCTGTTTAGATTCCAGTTGCTGGACACCACTTAGTAACTAAAGACTGCTTGAACATAAATTAGACTACTACCACATTTGTCAATTTGTTTGACATGAACTGAAAACTAAAATGCTGCAGTTTAATTTTTCGTTATTCAAAAGTACTGAAAAACTTAACAGCTTTTGGACGATGTAAGACGAATCTGCTGTCATATTAAATGAGTTTCAGTGTATTTGACCACATTACTGTAGTTGTTTAATATACAGCCTTTGAATAACGAACCGCTGCTAACTCCAGGCCCCTGATCCCCATAGGCATCAGTTGTGTTACCCTTCCTACCGATCTGTTTCCTTTAGCACATGAGTCGGAATTTCTACTCGGATTGGCCAAGTCAAAACAAGGTAGTTTAGTCAAGAAATTAAACTTAAGCTTCAGGTACATCGATGATCTGATATCGTTTCATTATCATCAAATACCAAATTCCCTTTCAGCAGAGAAGTCTTTATGCATATTGAAAGAGTTTTGTCGCCTTATTCTAATTGTGCTATTATTGAAGAGACGAAAAACACTTCATACTCCACTGTACCAAATATTGGTTGGTTGGTTCGTTTGTTATTTTACGCCGCACTCGGCAATATTCCAGCTATATGACGGCCTCTTACGACAAGCATAGTCGCATTTTACGGCAAGCATGGGTTGCTGAAGACCTATTGTACCCCGGATCTTCACAGGCCTTGAGATACAATTGACCCTGCTCATTCTACCAAGATTTCAAAGAGCGTCAAACGACTCTTTCTCAGAAATCTTTTGAACAATGTTTGGACTTTCAAGGCCTCCATAAAGCTTTCGAAAAGTTTCATGGTAGACATGTGGAAGACATTTCCAAATTTGATGAACATTTGACTTGCATGTGTTTGTGACCGGTGGGGCAGGTTGCGGCCACTTGGTATCGTCAACACATTACGGGTCACGTCAGAACGACCTTTCGCGAATTTTGACCGACCAAGGAAATGACATATTTTGACGTATTCTCGATTAAAAAAATTAAAACGGATAAGAAGAACATTCTGGAATGGCTTATAGATGGCCGAGATTGTATGGACATAATAAAACACAAACGTATCTGTCGTTCGGAATACCCCGTGTTAAATATTTCGTGGTTGCATAATTAGAAAACACATTCCGACAGTCACCTTCATGAAGCGACGCTCTGATTGGTTGGTTGAAAGGTCGTTCTGACGTGACCCTGAATGGGATGTTCTCAGATCTTTGTTTAGCGATAGCGAGAACCAAGATCTGATTTTAATGAGATTGGGTTTGACGGCACCCCAATAACATGTTTTTACTGCCTTATATGATGACCTTGTATTTAATCATGTTCCAGTATCAGGACAGTATCCAAAATCATGATGTCTGCATAAGATTGGAAAATATCAGACCCCAATCATTTCAGGCGAATATGCCTTTTAAATGTACAAAAAAAAAGAAAAAAAAAGAACCTATAGCTTGGGCAGAGTTTGAAGGCTAAATGTAGGAGGAGAAAACTCGCAATTGAAGGGGTTACAGTACCACCGATAATGTCTTTATTTTGCAGGCTGTTATTCAAAAGTTTTATCCAAGATGTATGTATGCAATTTTTGTATAATTTTCCAAAGCCTTTGACTTAGTACAGCACTTTCTACTGTATTTTGTATATTTTTTAAATAGTATATCAGGTAAAGTATATAATGTTTTGAAGGCAATGTATTCACAGCTACGTTCTTGTGTAAATACAATTGCAAGTTATAGTTTAAGTGATTTCTTTGACTGCAGTGTTGCAACAAGACACGGTTGTATGGTAAGCCCTGCAATATTTATTTGGTTTTTAAATGACTTTATTGAAATGATCAAACCGTCTGACTGCAGAGGTACTAGTACACATGTTGGTAATCTTCCAGAAAAAAATTCACCACCATAATATTTGCTGATGACACAGTAAATGCTGCAGACAGCGTGTATAGATCACAGCAACAAATCGATGTCTACACTTATTACAACAAGCTAAGAAAGACACTTTTGACATTTGAGTTTTTTTTAGCTAAATAAGCTCAATGTACACACATCAATGTTCTTGTTCGTGTATTGAAAGGGTACTATTATATTTTTTGTAAACAAATCTTAGGCATTTCTTGTAATATAATAAATGATGCTGTGCTCGGTGAATAAGGAAGGTACCCGTTATGTCTGTTGTATGTTATGAAATGTATATCCTACCGGATAAATGTACAAGCTATAGGTACCCCAACATGTATTCTAATATGTTGCGTTCATTTGATAATGCCAGAAGGCAGACATGGGTCGGTATTGTTAGAAATATTTTGTTTGAACATTGGTATGGATTGTTTTGGTTAAATCAGGGTGTTGGAACCCCGCAAATATTTTTAGTGTCTTTTTTTCCTCAACGATTGAATGAAGTATCAAAATTGGCTTTGTAATCTATATGGGAAAGTAAAAATAAGTTTTTATGAAAAGTGTAAATATGTGCAACACCCAGAACAGTATCGAGTAATAATAAGAGTCGGTTATTTAAGAAATACTTCAGTAAAAACCGTTGTGGAAGTTATGATATACGTATTGAGTATGGTAGATGAGAAATATTTTGTACGAAGAAAGATTAGGTTTATATTGTGAACATATTTGTTTGAAGAAAGTTATCGAAGATGAAGAACATTTTCTGCTGATCTGTTTTTTTGTATGAGAATTGAAGGAATCAGTATTTTAGCCTTGTGAAAGGACATTTTAAAGTTAAAAATATCATGAAAATTTGAGACAACCAACATGCATGGAAACTAGATGCATACATATTTGATTGTTTCAATGTGAGAAAACAATGGATTGAAAATACAATGATATGAATATATACCATTTGTTGATGATATATCTTGATAGTAATGTATTGAATGTACAGAGACAGACCTTTCATCAATACAGTAAACTACGGTTATCTTTTTGTCCCGGCCATTTGTTGTATATATGCTGTATATATGCTTATAACGAACTACGGTTATAACGAACTAAAACAAGTGGTCCCTTTGAGTTCGTTATAACCGTAGTTTACTGTATATTATTTGTAAATTGTTTGTGAATTACGAGCCTTATGGTCTACATGTCTGAAAAAAGCCCTAAAACAACATGCAACATGAAGCTAAACATGTGAAGTTTTGCCAAACATAGTTTGATTCCGTCATGCGCTCAGTAAATGAGTTCCTCCAAAACATTGATTTTAAATAACGTATATGTTACAATGTCGATAGATATTTAGTTTTGTAAGATTTTGCGCGTTTTAATGATCAATGAATGTTGGAACATTTAATTTCAGCAAGACGCCCTCAGTCTCCTAAGTATACCAACACATTAGGATTTTAAAGTTACAGGTCATATTCTTCTTCTTATTTGGTGTTTAACGCCGCACTCAGCAATATTCCAGCTATATGACGGCGGTCTGTAAATAATCGAGTCTGGACCAGACAATCCAGTGATTGATATCATGAGCATTCATCCACCCAATTGGGATCGATGACATGTATCAACCAGACAGCGAGCCTGACCACCCGATCCCGTTAGTCGCCTCTTACGACAAGCATAGTCACCTTTTACGACAAACATGGGTTGCTGAAGACCTATTTCACTATTTTGTTTGTTGTTTAACGCCGCACTCAGCAATATTCCAGCTATATGACGGCGGTCTGTAAATAATCGAGTCTGGACCAGACAATAATGGCTTTATTACACAAGTAATACATTTAGGCAATTTTGGTTATACTTTGTTACAATGTAATGGTTCTCACGTCATATCCGCAGACTTCACACGATACTCCGTATACTCAGTTAAAATCTGATAGCAATTCAATGCAGTACGTCGATGAAGTCTGTGTTAACAAATACTCAGCGTGCACAGGGTACTTCATTGGTCTGTGCTTAAGTTGATACCATTGCCATAATTACGTCACTGACGTGGTTGCTGCACACAAACGAGCGAATGCTGGCAATATCATACAGTTATGTTACCGAATCATTGATAGAAACATTTAGGAGCGTATGAAACATAGGATAAATCTAAACCTTGCGATACACGATGTATATGTTCAAGCTATTAACTCTCAATTTGCAATGGATGAACAAATGTTGGCATTTCAAATACTGATCGACAAATAACTTTTGTTGAACTGTGGGACATGGTTGATGTTTTCGCCGAAGTACAAAAGTCTACAGATCAAAACCAGATGTCACTGGCTGTGCTTGGGATACAAACAAAGGCTGCTTTTTACAACAGTTACTAAAGAAAGGCAAGATAAGCATCATCATCTGTGGGTAGAACATCTGTTGCAAGTGAAGGCAGCCTCTCTCCCTCCAATGTCATGAGAGTGAACCCTCTGAAAACATAGAGACAAGACATACATCATTGATGGCTTACCCTTTTCGCAACACCTGGGGCGCGTTGCAAGCCACGAATCGCTTAGAGAAAGCAAATTAATCGCTCATCCCGGGGTCTGCAACAGTTGGAAGCGCTTGCGCACTCTTCCAAAATGGCGGCGCAACTACCGCTTGATTGCCTTGACGTTATGAAGAACGTAATAGAAGAGGCTCGATGACGAGCTGAGGAAATTTATGACTACTTTGAAAATGTGGAGCAGACTAAGGATGATGGGGTATCAGCTGCCTTTGCTCATTTCCTCGTTGATCCAGTCAAGAATTTCTTCTTCCGCTGTCAAAGTCAGCCGCCATTTTGGTTTGACAACGAAGCGACCTCAGCCAGCGATTGTTTCGCTTGCAAGCGGCTGAAAGTTAGCGCACTGTTGTGAGGCGAATCGCTATACATCGCTTACAAGCGATTGGTGCTTTGCAACGCACCCCTGGTGTCATCACTGATTTTCAGTGGTAAATTCATATAATTCTCACAGCTATTTGGACCTTTACGCCAAATTTTAATCTGTTTTGACGGATAATCCTGACTGGTTATTATCTTGCATTGGCAATCTATTTTCAACTTCCCCTAGATGTTGAGCAATATACCAGCAGCTCCATCCTTTTGGGGTCTACAGTTCAATTGGTTACGCAGATGTGACTCTTGGATCGGTTTTGCTCTTGTTGCTGTTAAACTTTTCTGGCAGTGTCACATATAGGTTTGTTAATTAGTGTTAGATAGAGGTATTATTGTACGGTTGAATTAGTATACTAGTATTAAGCGGATGGAATCGCACTCTGGGTGGCGTTATGTTCGCTTTTATTAGTATCATGTAGGATTGCGTATAAAGAGGATATAATTTTAAGCCATGTATTGTATATTTTAAAATATATGTATATGCATATCTGTTAATCAACAGCCATTTAACAAAAATGAAGAGTACAAATATAGTTTTCTCCAGTAAAACGTGAATCAGAGTAAAGTGCATTAAAAAGATGGATGGTCGGATGGATGGACGGACGTATGGTTGTTCGGCTGGAGGGATGGACGGACGGTCGGATGGACGGACGGATGGTTGTGTGAATGGATGGGTTGATGGTCGGATTGACGGACGGACGGCTGGTTGTTCGGATTGATGGATGGACGGACGGATGGTTGTTCAGATGGATGGGTGGTCGAATGGACGGACGGGTGGTTGTCGGAATGGATGGATGGATGGTTGATGGTCGGATGGATGGACGGATGGTTGTTCGGATGGATGGATGGTCGGATGAGTGGACAGGTGGTTGTTCGGATGGATGGTTGGTGGTCGGATGGATGGACGGACGGCTGGTTCGGATTGATGGATGGACGGACGGGTGGTTGTTCAGATGGACGGGTGGTCGAATGGACGGACGGATGGTTGGAATGGATGGATTGATGGTTGATGGTCGGATTGATGGACGGATGGTTGTTCGGATGGATGGATGGATGGATGGTCGGATGAGTGGACGGGTGGTCGAATGGACGGACGGATGGTTGTTGGAATGGATGGATGGATGATTGATGGTCGGATGAGTGGACGGATGGTTGTTCGGGTGGATGGACGGATGCATGGATGAGTATCTCCGGGATGTGTACAGCGTAGAATGAACACAGCAGTGACATCCATATAACACAGGCCCCTTCTGCCCCGTGGGGAAAACATCACCACTTCAAAACCCATACCCGCTAACAGGAGACTGAGCGACACACCCTAAAAGAGGGGCGTGGAGCTACTCATAAACAATGTCCTTACAGTACAGCAATGTTTTGCTGCCTCAAAAAGTCTGTTACAACACGTGTCATATATGGGCGGGCATTATCCCGCTTCAACGTGACGTGATGTCCCTGCATTTGCACAAAGGGTAGAACATTATGATGCTATCCCATACCATTACACTTCCACCCCAAACTGACAACGTTGAGTTATGCAAAGGTGGGTAAAACGTTCTCCTGGGCGCACGCATATAGAACCATGCACGACCATCAGAGCTATCCAAATGAAACCATCTGTGAACAGTATACTGTACCAGTCTTTTGATCCTCATATGCTGTCTACATCTAACTAGGCGTGCCTGGCGGTGACATAGAAGCAAAATTGGGCGTATCGCTGTACTTCGGGGCCGGATGTTGTGCTCCCTCAACTGGCTATGTACGGTTCTGCCACTAATTGGTCTCAACCGAGAAATTGTCAGAGCCGTGAATGTGGCTGTTTGTTATTGATTCTGTAAATTCATCAACCGAATATGGTTGTCTTGTTGACGTGTCGTCACACGTGGATGTCCGGCCTGTGAAAGGCCAAGAGTATTGCCCTGCTGTAGTTAACGTCTCCAAAGAGATTAAATTACGTTTCGATGACATTTTATGCCATTCCAGTTTGGAGCATAAGTTAAGTAATATTTACAGTTAAACAAAGGGGTTTAATGAGTACATGATAACTAAACAGTCATTGTGTGTTGTACACAATCACAGGGGGCACGGGTGGCCCAGTCGTCTAAGGCCCCGCGAATCGCTGTGCAGAGTTGCGTCCCTTGGGCACGCCAGAAACCTATGATTGTGGGTTCGAATCCCGGTCCGCCCCGATTATGTTTCTATGTTTGTCAGCACCATACCCGTGATCGTGGATTTAACCGAAGTGGTAAAAGTCTGATACCTGCATCACTTCGGGCTTTCCTCCCATATTTAGCTGTCACGCCGTGATATAACTGGAATAATATTAATGTTAAAAGCGGCGTTAAACCCAACTCACTCACTCACTCACAATAACAAACTGCATGTATGAGTATTATGCTCCAAAAAAACACACAAACATACAAATTGTGTGCTGTGCATGAAAAAGCATGTGCAAATTGTGAATCCCGGACTTAAAGTCGAGGAAATGTATTCATAAATATGTATTGAAAGTATTATTTATTTTTAGAATAAACACATTTTATTGAACTTTATATAAAGCACCGTTACTTTTTCCGCTAGTATATAAGTAAATACATTATATTCACTATTTGTTAGTGTTTTAGTATTTGTATTAGTAAAAGGCGACTATGCTTGTCGTTAGAGGCGACTAACGGGATCGGGGAGTCGGACTTGGTTGATGCATGTCATTTTATACCAATTGCGTGGATCAATGATCATGATGTCAATCAGTGGATTGTCTGGTCCAGACTCGATTATTTACAGACCGCCGTCATATAGCTGGAATATTGCTGAGTGCGGCGTTAAACAAAAAAACAAAAACAACAACAAAAAACAAACAAAACAAAGTAGAAATATACCAGCATTATTGTTAGTAGTAGGATATTAGTAATTGTAGAAGTAACATGTAAATAGATGTTAAGCTAGTTTAGTTCGTTAGTTCAGTTAGTTGTATTATTTATTTCGGAATAAGCATAATTCTTTGGGTTTAAACGTATCTTCAGTGAGGGAATGAATTTACAAAAACGTAACATATGTGTGAGGCTTCAATTTGTGACAAGGAGCACACGTACCTCTCAGCATATTCGTTGAGATAAAGAATTTGGTTGTGAATGGTGAGAGAGAAGGTTTCTTTGTCAATCTTCTGAATAGCATGTTGGTCACCCAGTGGATCTTGCTTCTGGCTTATAATAGTGTCTTGGTCGAGCCAATAGAGTCGTTTTTCTGCACATGAATACATATTTATGTTTGAACAGTGGATCAATATGAAATGGTTCTAGTATTAACCGTTTAATCCATGAAGGTTGGGGAATAAGAAAAAGCAGCTGAGTTATCCTTGGGTTCATCAAATACTTTTTGGATTTATCATAATACCAGATCAGCTTTGTATCATTAACGTTTTTCCGCATGACCCTTAACGATGTCATATACCGTAATAATTAGGGCATATAAAATTATTTGCCTCCCACAAGCTCTGACAATATTAACGAAACGTATTGTAATTGTAAGAAAAGAAAATAAGACACCTATATAATCCTTGGTTGAAGCGGAATGAAAGTTCATCTTCATTAAACTATTCAATTTCTTCCATTTAAAACATGATGATATACACAGAGAGACTTAGACCAGTAAGCAACCCAGCATCCAACCTACCGGCTTCATTGTAAAAAATGTCTCCAGGTTGTCTATTATGTATTTTCTTGAGACCTTTGCCATCGTAATCAATCACAAACATCCCTTGCAGATCTGCAAAATATAGTAATCTGAAAAACAAAATATAAACTGTCAATGCAAGAGAATAACAAGCAAAGATTCTATACCAAAACCAATTAAAATTTGGCGTAAAATTTAAAATAGCTGTGAAAATAATGTGAATGTACCAGTAAAAATCAGAAGTGACACCCGGTGTTCACAAAAAACGTAAGCATGACCTACTCGCCGGTAGCACCCGCCAATCACACTATTTGTATAAAAAAGGACCCGTGAAGATTCCGGGGTAAAAAAGGTCTTCAGCAACCAATGCTTGCCGTAAAAGGCGACTATGCTTGTCGTAAAAGACGACTAACGGGATCGGGTGGTCAGGCTCGCTGACTTGGTTGATGCATGTTATCAATCCCAATTGCGTGGATTGATGCTCATGATTCAATCACTAGATTGTCTGGTCCAGACTCGATTATTTACAGACCGCCGTCATATAGCTGGAATATTGCTGAGTGCGGCGTTAAACAACCAACCAACCAACAACCAACCAATTGTATAACAAAGTATGTCTTTATTGCCTGACGTACTTAACCTAGGTTGACAGTCGGCAGGTAGTTACATGTAGTTGCTAATCCCTCTCAAACATACCCTGCTGAACTGGCGAGCTGTTCAAGCAACCTTTACACTGACAAAACTAATGTTATTGACTATGTTATTTGTTATGATATCAGCTGCCAGAAAAAAATATTTTAACTTGTTACGTTTTCATATTGATCACGATTTACTTGTAAACTTAATGCTATTAGCACATGGTCATCACTGTATTTCAGAGCTACTGAAAATGTCTACAGTCGAGGTCATGGACTGAGTTTGGGAATAGTCTGAGACGTTATGTAATTTATTTCAAATTAAGCAGCTTTAACATAAATCTCTTCTTAAGCAACACTGGTAGAAAATGAGAACGTTATCTTTCATGCTAACCTTAATTGGTGGTGTGATAGAAAATGGACAATGTTTGACATAAGCATAACTCACTTGGGAAGGAAAGTCAGAATTCATTTAAAAAAATATAATTTGACAAGAATAGATCAAGACTTGTTTAAACCTTTTTATCCCCCGCCACGAAGTGGAAGGGGGATACAGGAATGGGTGCCGTCCGTCCGTCCGTCACATTTCGTTTCCGGAGCAGATCTTCTTCACCAAACTTGGCACATTGATAGGTCTAGTGGTGAACTGGTGCCTTTTGATAGTTTGGGATTTAAAAAAAAAATGTTTTTCGAGTTTCCATGGCAACAACTTTGATTTAGACTGAAAATGGCGGTAGTCCTCTTTTCCGGAGCAGATCTTGAAAACCGTACCATATTTCTTCACCAAACTTGGCACATAATGTCATCTCACAGTATTGAATACATTTCCTTTCTTGTTGGTAAGTTCTGCATTGCTTGAGAGTATGTTCCTTTAAAAGTGTCATGGACACAGTTGTTGCATTCACTGACTAACTTCATGCAGAAACACTCATTACGAAGACAACAGTGTAACTGATCTCAAACCTACTCAACTGTATAAACACTGTAGATTCTCGTCAACCATACTCTGTACTTCACTTGCTAGATAAGGGTGTTAGCACCCACACCGAAACCATCGCTCCTAATTGTAATAAAGAAGTTGTTCGTCCGTATGTCTCGTCTTTACTCATTACAAATTCAGTTACATATACTATCATAAACTGCAGATGGCAAAACGACACCAGTAACAACATTTTTTAGTGCTGCAATTAGGCATTTTACAAAAAGGCCCAGTGAACATAGTTCACAGGAGCTAATGCATTGCACACACCCGACATGTCATATTGGCGGGGATGTGAGTATTTCATGCTTATTTATAATGTTCTAAATAATATATATAAAATATATATATATATATATATATATATATATATATATATATATATAAAATAAAGAGACAATTTTGGTTCTGGTGCTTCCAGTTGTAATGTAAACATTTTGCTATCGGCTCATCTATCACAACTGAATCAGAGACTAAAATCTACATGGGGAATTATTGTCACCTGCAATCATCATACGTAGCCTTCAAGAAGATGTAATAAACGTGACTAGTGTGTGTCATTCTTACAGAAAGATATCATAGGTGTGGCAACCATGCATTAATTATGCTGCCGAATACAGCCCCACTGGTGTCTGTGTCCCGAGGAGGGTGTATTCGGCAGTATTCGTTACAATTTTCGTTAGATTAAAATCAAAATGCAGGAAAGAGGGTTAGGTCGACCCTGGCTGGTTAGGCCCATCATCAGCTTAGGGCCCTTGCCGCCTCTACATGCAGCCCGGACAGCGAATGGGACCTCTCCCAGGAAGCGCTGCCTAGTCAAACCATCCATGAACTTTTCAGAGATGACTCCCCAACACTGCAGCCTTCTGCATTACCCAGATTGTCAGAAGGGCTGTTTTTCTGGTAACAAACCAGGGTTCGTTAGGCACCGAGAACAATGGGGAGTCGGACAACTTGGTACTTGGGATGCAAGCGTGACATTTCGAAAGCGAGGTCAGCATATTTGCCATGTTTTTTCCGAATCACAAAAGTGTCAAAAGGGACAGAAAATATAAATGATTTCCTAAAATTTGTCAAAAATGACAAGATCACGTGTGTTAGCATGGATACGTCCGAGGCTGTACACGGGCCTATTCTGAAGAATGTTGTATTTATTACGCCCTCTACATATTCTGGGTCGAACCATGGTTGGACCTCTGTGTCAAAACCACACAAGCATGGCGGAGACGGTAATAATCGCCATCATGTTGCTTAAGATACTGTGTTTGTTCCAAAGCTGGGCATCCATTGACAATGCCTTGGACAGTCTCATTAAATTCATTTCATAATATGCATTTCATATATACTTTTGATGCAAAATCACACATTGACTGTTTCGATTGGGAAGTGACTTGTCTTGAGCAGGAAACAGAAATCCTTCTGTGTCACTTTTCAGGCAAGCTGACTTCACCCAAGCGAAGGACTCTGTAGGGTTGCTGATCTTCGTCGTTCAGAAAGCCTCTGGGCATCTGAGTCTGGGCCTATTTTGTATGTCACTTCGCTTGGTAGACACTCATTTTTGTCCAGCAGTACAGAACCATCAAGAGAATCATCACTGACATTGGGAATATGCAGCAGCAGCATTAGCCATCGTATTACTAACAATTCCAACATGGCTGGGTAACCAACAAAAGACAATGTCAGATTGGCTAGTAGCAAGGTTATGTAGTCCTATGATGTCAAGTAAAAGTACTCATTTAATTAATTTAAAGAAATAGAATTATGAAATAAATTTTGAAATATATGTTTTGTTATAATTAAATGATATTTTAGTCTTGGTAGAAAGAAATTTGTTAACTGAGATTGTTAGTGGCTTTACCCTTGATGGGGGATGAAGTAGTGTAAAATGATTGTACCCAAGAGAGGGGATGTTAGACCACGTCATTCAGAGTAATCTTTGCCACCACATTTTTAATCGTAGAATATAACTTTGGATAAATTTGTCCATAATCGCCAACAGCTGAAGGCATGATGTAAATCCGGCTGGGGTCCATGCAGGTAGGAAAGTTCTGTAAGTCCCCATGGACCCCAGCATGGTGATCTACCTTCAGGGGCTGCAGATCTATAGCCCTTTTGTATATTATACTGTTACATATAGTGTTTATGGTTGTATGCTAGTTTTAAATATTAATCTATGATATTCTAGTTTTTTTACTGTACATCGATGACAGGATTCTATTTCGTCTAAATATATGTACTAATAATGTATAACTTTTCGTCACGATATGGCTGAATTATTGCCTGTGTGACGTAAAGCATTAACTCACTGATCCATACTCCTCTGAACCTATTAAATTAAATGCTTCCAAACTTTCTGAGACTTGTCACCGTACCTTACACATCAAACCTGGTTACCTGTTTTTGGATAGTTGCGGACATATTGGATTTTTGTTAATAAATTATATCTGGTAACGGTCTTCACAGGAAGAAATTATGGTGCCACATGGACCTTATTTTATGTTTGTGACTGCATTTTAAATATAACACTGCTTTGCGTTCTATATGATTTTAGTAAATACCCAGATTTGAGTACACATACTGAAGGAAGCGCCTCATACATATATACACACACGATAAATCCCCGTTCACTAGCTTTCCAAAGACCTAAGAGCAATACCCAGTCTTTTCGCAAATGTCTTCAGCATTGTGTATTCTACCCTTAAAGATTAGAATTGGTCTTCAAGCAACCCATGCTTGCCTTAAGAGGCGACTAACAGGATCGCTAATTTGGTTGATGCATTTCGTCTTTCGTTTCCAAATTGCCAATTGCGAAGATGCCGTACTTTTCACTACACTGTATTTGAGGTTTCGAACATGGTCGAGGTCGGAAATGGGTTTAGAATACTCCGAAACACCTCGCCACACGCCAATGTTGTATTGTCGATGTGCCGCAAGCGTGCCTTACTTTTGACGGCGTTGGTACATAAAACCATTTGAGGATTCGAACATGGGCGATGTCGGAAATGGGTTTGAAACCCCCAAGGACAATCCGATACACGCCAATTTCGCATCGGAGATATGGGCCTGGGATACCTGTCTTTTGCAGCGTTTGAGTCTTCAACAAGTACGGCAGTAAACTCTATTCATTCATTCCAGTCACTTAAGCTAGTGATATTGAAACTGTCGTTTTTTGTGTCGTCTACGGCCACACCATTGTGACCGCTTCCCGTCCGATCAGTTGCCCGATGTTTGTGTGCATATCTGGAAAGTTCCACAAAAATAGCAAGGACGTGCGTGCGTTTGTGCGTACGTTTGTGCGTGTGTGTTACTAGGAGCCAGCCATTTTCTTCTTGCCATCATACATTTCTGGAACGTTTCTTATTGATGTCGACACATTCCTCAAAATGGCCCTGGTTTGACAAAAATCAGTCGATGTTGTTGGAATGGTATTTTTAGGCAATTGAACATTTCATGTAAACAGGAATAAGGCGTAGATTATAAACTGATATATTTGATGTATTATACTGAAATACCGGAATTTGAGATGTTAATGCGGTATAAAATCCAATGACGTAGCGCAGACGCATAAACTTTGGGTAGGATCTCTCAGGGTGTTTACACATTCACATGGTTGAACGCGTATAAGTATAAGTATCTTTCCGACAGTGGCATGTAAAAAGGCAAATGGGTGATTCTAAATAACATAAAGTGGTTGAGTATTTCTTACCTGTTTCTTTCATCAATTTCCAACTGCCAAATGAAACTGTGGTGGTGTAGAGATTGTGTTTTCCCTCCTTTCATAGTTGAGCGAGAAAGTTCCTGGCGTGTAGCCGAAATCAGTATGCGTCCGGGAAGGTCGAACTTAAAGCACTCGACTCTTATTCCTGTCAATGTATGCATATGCTGTGACAATCAATCAAGCATCAATGATCATGTTGAAAACTTAGTTGTTGGTCTCTTGACTGTGAAATATTCAGAATCATTTATTGTTTTATTCCGTCAAAGATCACAGGTCTGAAGGACATAACATTGTCAATATAAATTTGATAAAGGTCATCATGACATATCACATGGAATTAAATGCATGGAAATTAAAACATTTGAAATATGTGCCACCATAAAAAGCAGCAGAAAATCCTGAACTTGCCCTAACAAACATTTTTACGACTAAGAAACATCAGTTCTATTAATGCCACACAGTGAAAACAGACTGACAATGGAGACACAGTTATGATTAGCAACTGCCCAACAACAAATACAATCTTAAAACAAACAATACACATATGTGAACAGAATTTGGATTGTACATAATCTTTGTAAAATACATCGGCCTACTCCCAGCGGACAGTCTTCTGTACAACATGTGCATCAACACCCTTATCAACGGCAACATGGTGCAGAGATTTTGAATTCAATCCTTGCAAATTAGAGCGACTGACCTCCGTGTCTGAAGTCCAAATCAGTATTCGATAATCAAGTATCAATGATAACGTTCAAAGTTTGTATGAATATAATTACTTAATGGTCTCTTGACTGGGAAATATTCAGAATCAGTTATTGTTTCATTCCGTCAAAAATCATAGGCCTATTGGACATAACAATATTAATATATCTTCCATATTTGATACACTTACATCATGAGTGAACAGTCATGAGATAACAAATTAATGAATTGAATTACGTTTATTGAAATTTCAAATACAAACTTGTGCCACCATAAAGAGCAGCAGAAAATCCTAAACTTGCCCCAACAAACATTTTTGACGATTAAGTAACATCAGTGCCAGAACTGCAATTCGACAAAAAAAATTGCTTGTAATTGGCAGTGAAAACAAGACTGACACTGGAGAATCAGCTGGTTTAAGCAACTGTCCTACAAAACTTTCAATCTTCAAATAAGCAAAACACATATTTTGACAGAGTTTTGGATTGTAGATAATGTTTGTAAAATAGATCTTATGTAAACAAGTGCATCAACACCTTGTACCAGGTTGGCCTGAAGGATTTTGCAGTGTAGCGAAACTGTGACAATCCTGTATCTCGAACACCATCCTCCATAACTCGAGCGATATGCTGATGCTATCCACAAAAAGCAACCCATTCTGAAGACAATGGTTAAAGTCCCACTTTCATTGTTGACGAAAACTTTGTAACTTCGAAATTAAGAAACCCATTTTAATGACTTGAGCTTTCCAAAGATTGGTCTAACTGAGATAGCAATACCTGGATGGTTCTGGTCCTGTCATAGGCATTGTTCCATCTTACACAAAGACATGTTCTTTGGTCTTTGGGTGAGGACCCGTGAAGATCCGGAGTAGAATAGGCCTTCAGCAACCCATGCATGCCGTAAAAGGCGACTAGGCTTGTCGTAGGAGGTGACTAACGGGATCGGGTGGTCAGGCTCGCTGACTTGGTTGATGCATGCCATCGATCCCAATTGCTTGGATCGATGCTCATGATATCAATCACTGGATTGTCTGGGCCAGACTCGATTATTTACAGACCATCGTCATATAGATCTAGCTGGAATATTGCTGAGTGCGGCGTTAAACAACCAACCAACCAACTTTGGGTGAGAGAGGTGTAGAGAAACATCCAGCTATGGCAGTATAGCAATGTTATGTTTCCTCAAAAAGTCTGACACTACGCGTGTGACGTGTGAGCAGGCATTATCATGCTGCAACGTCCCTGTCCCTTGCACATGGAGTTTAACTTGTTTTGGAACGATGCTGTCCCGGTAAGTTACACCATTCAAATTGCTGTTAAGAATGGTGAGTTGTGTCCTCCCATGAGTTGGGATGCCACTCACTCCCATTACACCTCCACCCCCAACCATGACTCATCTGTGAAAAGTATACTGTCCCGGTCTTGTCTTCTGAATTTCATATGCTGTCTACACCAAGCAAGGCGTACCTGGCGGTGACGTGGAAGTATAATTGGGCGTATCGCTGGAAGGTCGGGGCTGGATCCGGATGATGTGTTCCCTCAAACGTTTGCTTCAGCCACTAATTTGTCTCAATCCAGCATGTGTGCAAGCAGTGGCAGTTTGCTATCGATTCCGTAGATGCACCAACCGAATATGGTTGTCTTGCTGACGTGACGTAACACGTGGATGACCAGCATGTGGCAGGTCATGAGTGTTGCCCATCTGTAGATTACGTCTCCCAAGAGATTATATTCTGTTTCGATGAACATTAAAATGTCTCGCATCTTCGTATGCGCCATTCCTGTTTGCAGTATACCCTGTGCGCGTGTACCTTGATTTTAGCAAGCCATGGCACTGCATGTGTGTTAACTACGGTTAAACAACACTGTTTTTATGAGCACGTGATAGCTTAACAATCAAGTGTGTGAGTATCATCCTCCCAACAAACACGTAAACATCCAAATTGTGCGCTGTGCATGAACATGCAGGTGCAAATTGTCAATCACGAACTTAAAGTCGAGGAAATGTCCTCATAAATATGTATTGAAAGATGCATTAATGAATTCAGAATTTTTTTTATTTTACTGAATTTTACATGAAGTAAACTTTCGCCGGCATCAGAAACTTGCACATTTCTGGTGTCCCCCGCCGTGATATGGCTGGAATAATGCGGTGTAAAACCATACTCACTCACTCATAGACTCGCACCAACTCCTGAGCGTAAAACGACGAATGTTGATATAAACTATATACACATTCTCAACAATTGGTTATACATGTATAGGTTGTTATGTTCTTGATGGTGATCGGGGAGGCTGGACTGCAAACTGTCGTCATCGTTCTTGCGACAAAATAGTGGCCGGCTTGACACTGTTTTTGTCTGCTATTCTTGGAATGACTGCACATGAGCGACAGTCAAGGCCCAATTACACAAAACAAGGTCAAGGTTACCTTTGTCTGAAGTGACACCCGTTTCACAAAGTTACAGTAGCTCGATCTTTATTTGGTGCGTCAACCTTTATAGCGCTAAAGTTCCATTAATAAGGTGGTATGACATACAAGCTGAAACCTCTACTCGATACACTGTTAAAACACGAAAATTTAGGATTTCCTTGCCTATTTCTCACACAATTTGTGAGTGCCGAAATTTTAGATCCATTCGTATAACCTACAAATGTAATTTCTAAACATGAACGGTTATGAAACTACCGCGAACTTCCACTATATTATAACCTAACTTTCTTAATAGCATGCAACGTGCTGTTTAAATATATGTGTAACGGATGTTTTTAATTAATCCTAGATAAAATTATACAGCGCAACAAATTCTGGAAAAACAAGTTAGAGCAGTACGAAAAAACAAATTAGAGCACTACCAATCACATGAATCCATTGGCGGAAAGAATGTCAAGTTAAAACGACTCGACTCGATTATTTACAGACCGCCGTCATATAGCTAGAATATTGCTGAGTGCGGCGTTAAACAACAAACCAAACCGAAGTGATGCAGGTCTCAGAGGGTTATAAATTTTGCACATATGTGTATGAAAAAAAGAGATTATTACATTTTCTATAAACCAATCAGTTCTCTATGGGGTACCAACAAATGTTGCAGAAGACACTCCATTTCGACTTACGTCTTAGTAGTATCTGTTTCTCTGGCCCAATCTTTCCGAATGACAGGAGGGCAGAATGGATTCCTTTTTCACCAGCTTCTGTAACCCAGTAGAAAGTTCTCGTTGACTGAATGTATTCGGTGTACATTACATTATCCCACGTGAGCCATGTTTTTACTTCAAAGTCTGATCGTCCATCTTTGTACCAGTACATATTACCTTCAAACACTACAGCACAGGGGATGGGATTATCGGCTGTTTCTGAAACAAAAACCGAACACAAATTTGTGCCTTTTCAAACTATACGTTAAAAATAACCCTTAGTGAGGAAGAGAATATATGGATGCAACTTCTTTATTATGAGGAACACGTTTCGGAGTATATGCTTACTCCTTCATCAGGTGAATGAATGCCATGAGGCAGAGAGCATATATTGACTCACACGCAAAAGAAACGCAAGTCGAGTATGCAGTATACAGTATATTTCCCTGCCAGATGCATACGGTAATACACATATACTATTCTTCTACAAGATGGAATTTTACAGAGGCAAACTGGCCTTTGTTTCAAACACTGTGCTTGAATATACTCAAACCCGAATGTTTCACTGATGTTACCGATCCTATTCGCTTTTTTTCTGACGTTTTAAATGGAACTGCTGACGAATGTATACCTAAATCCTCTACAATTCCACATATAACTAAACCATGGTTTAACACCGAATGTAAACACTCTAGAACAACAAGGAAAAGGGCAGAGAAATATTTTCGCCGCCAGCCAACTGTCCACAAATTATATAAATTTAAAAATTTAAAATTAATAAATTCGCGTACACCAATATATAAGGTTTGGAATATGGTGCTAAGGATAAAGGTAAAGGATCAACATCTAGTGTTCACCATCTTAAGGAGGGTGACACACTGTTAACCGATAAACGTGATATAGCAAACAAATTAGGAGAAACTTTAGCTAAACATTCTTCCTCATCAAATTATGAACCAAAATTTTAAAAAAATAAAGACCAACAAGAAAAAAAAGAAAATTAACTTTAATTCTGGTAATGATGAGGATTATAACCGTTACGAATTTTTTCCATCCATGAGCTGCATACCGCCCAAGAGAAAGCTCATGATACTGCCACGGATGCTGATAATATTCACTATCAGTTACTCCACATGTACCTGAGTTATGCTTATAAACACTATCAATCGGGGACAACGGGGAATTTCCCTTCATCATGGCGAAGTACTGTTGTAACACAAATACCGAAACATGGTCGTGATCATACTGATCAATCTAATTATATGCCTATATCGCAAACTATCTGTGTATGCA